ATAGAGCTGGGCACATATATGTGCAGCTGCAAAAGAGTCCTACTGTGATATCATGCTTTTACATTCCCTAATGTGCACAACAATGAGACAAGCCCAAATATCAAACGGTGGAAAAGCAGGGGTTCAAGCAACTGGTTAAAAAGCTTGACGGAAGTGACGACATTCCAGGTATAAAATATTTTTCAGTTTCACTTTTATTGGGTCTCAATATCATGCAGGTCCTGGAGAGTTACAAGGTTAGATTACTTTAGTTATTCTAAATTTAGAAGTTAAAAAGTTAATCATCATTAATATCATCATTGCAAATTTCATTGAACTATTGTGTTATCAGATACTTTAAAATAACAGCTTGTTTTTAAGCTGCTGGCCTATCGTTGTTATAGCTTGCATGTAGATTTTTAATAAGCGAGCTATTTTATAATGCATCTCTAAGATGTACAATACAATTCAGCAACTGAAGACTAAAATATGGCTCTAGTCAGCATTTATCAGGAGAAGATGGGCCACAGCACAGCTGAGACATCTAATTTTGCCTCTGAGAAGCCATCAAGCTCACCAGGTACAGCATGCTCAGTGGGTAAGAAAATCACATTATTTCCATCTCTGGTGGCTCTTTCATCTGTGCAGCTTTTGTGTGCTGATTTTAGTGTGTCTTGTGATGATTTTGTTGTGTACTATAAGGTGAATGATGTTTACAAAAAGTACTACAAAATGGCTGACACACTATTTAGCAAAGCTGTTAGACAGTTTGAACACAGTTTTGATTTGGCTTGTACCTGGTAGTTGTAGAACGGTTGGTTGATCACGCCTGCGATGGCTTTGCCTCCATATGCAATCCCAATGAGCACTGTCACATTATCCAGGAGCCCTGAAGTCAGGAAGCAGCAGGATGTTAGCTTGAAGCCACTAAACGACATTACTGCATTTTCACTTATAAATATTTCTAGTGTGGCCATAATAATTAATATTCTGCAAGGCCAGGCTTAATCGTTGCCTTTCCATACAGAGAGCTGTGCTGTGAAGCTGAGGGGTGTCCAACCCTTTGTGTGGTGCCTGGGCCACAGCTTGGAAATGGAGACACCTCGATGCTAGGGTCAGCAGAAAGACAGTGGACAGGTGGATAAGCAGGAGCAGGGATGCACAAAGAAGAGGCAAAAAAAGTAGCAGTGAAGTTCTGAGAGCTGAGAACCAGAAAGCAACCAAGCAGGCTTGTGCACAGAGAGCTCTATGCAGCTGAATACACAGAGATGGGAGGAGATTTTTAAGACATGCTTCAGAAGAGCATACCTTCAGTATATTCCTTTGTGCCATCAAGAGGATCTACCCACACAACTATCTGAAATTCAGATAGACACATTCAGAACAAGTATGTATACACCGTAGGAGGTAAACAGTGTCCAAGCAACAACTGTACAACATTGATTTGTAATAGCAGAAAATACTTTTTTATTCAGGTGCTAAACCTCTGAAACTAAACCCACATGTGATTACCTCTTCTTCTTTCAGCTGGCTGTACTCAGGTGGACAACTCCTCTGAAGAATTTCCTCTGACTGGCCAGTCTCAATTAGATCTTCCTGTATCACTTCAGAAGGAAGATCCTGAACAAAGTATATAAATATTCATGAGCTTTGTCATAATACGAGGATGTTTTTAGGTCTAGGTGCCCACAGCAAATAATTTGGCTAAATATTGTTGACACTTACCTCCTCTCCAATTATGGTGATTTTAGGGAAACATTTGGACAGTGAAGCACAAATGCTCTGCTGTGCTAGTCTATCTGCCAGTGTTTGCAGATCATTAGCGCCTGTCTGTGCAAGAGTAGAAACAGAAATGTTAAACTTTAAACCTTACATGTTTAACCATGAGTGCAGCTAGTGTTCTTAAACCACAAAATGCACATAGTGGGGTCATACCTTTTCCACAATACCAAGTTCTCCACTGTGAAGGACATTCCGTACAATGGTCCCAGCCTTTTCAGCCACAGCATAGGCTGAGGCCACCAGTCGCATAACAACAGCAGGACTTCCAGACATTGCTTTCTGATTGGTGTAGGGCAGGAGAAAGTAAAACTCATAAAACTAGGAGTGATTTTGTTCAATATGCCAATCTGCTATAGCCAGGTTTAAAAACTCAAATGCATAGTACTCCAGTTGATAAATATAATATCTTAAATAAAAGATAACAATGATAACCCTTAAAATTAACAAAAAAATAAGTCCTTTTTGGATTTATTCCTAAAAAAAATAGCTGAAAAATACCAAATACTCTGGATAAGCAAATAGCTTTTACAATCCCCCAGTTAAATTAAAAGAATACATAGGATACTGCAGCTACAAGAGTTAATGACGAAGTTAAGCTGATCACAACACACTAATATCAGAAAATAATAGTAGCTTCTCTTTGTTGTACATTTTTCTTATCTTAATGTACATCAAAAAATATTTTTAGGTTATTTTAATAAGATTTACACATTCAAATGAAAATATTTAGCTAAAGGCAACTGTCCCATTAACTCACAACAACACTAGTGCCATCATCTGCCAATATTTTCTAGCAAAGTGTTACAAGTAACGAAAATGTCACTTTAATGTGATATATATATATATATATATATATCAGAATGGTCTAAAAACGACTACTCAAGCAGGTCTTTCCACTCGCCTCTCCCTATAATGCTAAAGGATGTGGATATCCCGAATATGGTCATCTGTGGCATAGGTCATGCTGTGGGTGCAGCAGCTGATTAATTGACTAATCATTCAGCTGTACTTTACTGTGTAAATCAATTATTTCTAGTATATCTTGTACTCATATGTATAAATTTGTAAAGTAACTAAAACTTTTACACAAACATAAACATTACTCGCTGAAATATAGTGCAGTACAGGTATAAGGTCTCACAAAAAGACACGACTAAAGTTTAAGTATGTTAAGATTGCATTTTAGTAAGTACAGTACTAAATGTACTTAATAACAGCCTAACATTGATAGTTTAAAACTCAGTGAATGCCGTCTTTCGATAACCAGCTTCGTAGGTTAAATATTAAGTAGTTAACTTTGCATTTTAGAGTGATTAGTTTAGCTAAGTAACTAAAAGTCGGGTGTAAACGGAATTCTAAGTATGCTCGTGCAGTTAAGGCTAATTAGCCACCATGCTATAGCTCAAAGCTAGGTGACTAAAAATCTAAAATGAAGAATATTAAAAAATATATCCTCTTAACTTCGATGAGTACTTACTGATGCTAACGCTGTGCAATAGCCACAGTTTTCGTGGACTGCACCTGGAGTTTGTGAAGGAGGAAGATGCAGGAAGTGGTAGACCTTTGATCCCCACAAGATATGTACCCCCTCGCCCAAAAGACAAACTCTCAGCAACGTTTCAGAATGAACCCGTCAACAAATAATAAGAACGCCGACACGGATTAAAATACAGCGATTATCTCTCATATATGAATGTGTGTAAGTAATTCGAATTTGTGTTACGCAAAACAACGTTAAATTTTGCTTAAAACTGGTCTAACCACACTGTAAAACCGTTACGGAAGTACCGGAATATGGAGGTGAACCATCTCGCTTTTGCTCGTGAAACACGTTTTCTCTGTACTGACAGATGTGACGGGTCAAAGTGCCCGCCGGTTTCGTCGAAGGGGAGGAAAGGAAGGACAGCCTTACAGTTTTTTGTTTAAATTTTATTTAACATTCAGTTTTCTTGACCGTAATTGTGTTTTCAGTGAGAAAGCTGTGTTTTGCATTTTAGAACTCCACTTCGTGAATCGCAAACACAATTTGTTATCGGACATCTGTACTTTTTTTTTTCTCCTTCTAATTTTCTGTCATGTGCAGCATTACAGTAGTGGATGTTCATGTGTCTGCACAACTAATCATTGAGAACCAAAAGCTGCTGCTTTAAATGCGGGGTTTCAGCATTTGTTGTACACTTGACCCTGTGTGATATCAATAAGACCACATACGCTTAACTTGGTCATCTCTAGTGACTGCCCACATGCTTTTTCAATCATCTGTTTGACAGGAGCAACCAATCAGCAGTAAGGTCACTTAAAGGCCTAGAAAACAACAGATTATTTTGAGCTACTCTAGTAGCTAAAGAAAAAAACAAAGATGTAAAGTTAAGAAATTAAGATGTAAACATAAAATAAAATAAAATAGCCGTTTACTGAATTAAATTAAAAGCAGTTCATTTGACTCAGTAGAGGCTGTTTTTTCTTCTTCTTTAATCCTCAATATGGTTTCTGTATTTTCAAATAAACTCACATTGATCAGAGAATTAGGAGTACATCCATATTTAAATGAAAAAAACCTTGTATTACAGACATGCCAACCCACCATCATGATTTAACCATTATATATGACTGGTGTACACTATCAAAATAGTTTACAGTAGAAACAGAAATAAAACTTTTGGCTGACCAGTTACATTTTAATGTGGCATACAGAAGCAGCAACTGAAAAATGGGAGAAAAGTTAACATTTTTCAGATGAAAATTTAAATATTTGATGTCAATGTGCATATCACAGGCAAGTCATCTGTTTGCCAGAGGTCTGTAGCCCATCTCTCCCTCTAGCTGCTCTGCGGTTAGAGCACCCAGCAGAGGTTGACAGTCTGGATTGAAGACTGAATAAGCACTCAGTTCACCAGGCTTGCGGGGCGCTGGGCTCCGGAGTCCTTCATAAAGCCAGTAGAAGAGGGAGATGACAAAGAAGGGGAGACCAAACTCCAGTTCGGCAAACAGACCCAGCAGAACCAGCCATAGCAGCACTTTTAGTAAAGTGATGTTAGAAATGACAAACTGTCTGGAAGCTAGCCACTTTCCCAGAGCGCTATCCAGCAGCCAGTCTCCACGATCCTATAGTGAATACACAACAGAAAAAGAAGAAGAGAAGAATAAAAACATGTGATGCTACAAATACACCAAACTGTATAAAATAAATAAACAATAGGATGTCAGTTTTCTTACAAACAGCTCACAAATTGTACATAACTTAGTGGGGATTAAATGAACATATACAGTACAGTGAGTATTCCTTGGCTGCTGAGAAATAATATGAGCTTAAAAATAGCTTGGATCTCCAAATCAATACATTCAATACACAATCAATACAGGTACTTTATTATTTTTCCCACAAACACATTTATTTCTAATCTTTAGAGAGAATGGTTCAAAAAAGAGAAAATATCCAGTGAGTAGCAGTTCTCTTGTAGATAATGCCATCAAAAGCCAACACTTTTTTGGCAACAGTAATTCAACCAATCATTACAACCAAGTAAGTGCATACCTTTATGACCACAGTTTACCTATCTTCTAATGGCTCTGTCCAGCAGGGTAACATGTCACAACCACAAATCATCTCAAACAAGACAATGACTTCACTGTCCTCAAATGGCCTCCACAGTTATGAGACCTCAATCCAATAGAGCACCTCTTTGACCTTATGTTTGTTTCCAGCAACTTGTTAAATCTATCCCACGAATAATATAGGCAGTTCTGGTGGCTAAAGGAGGTCCAACCTGATTTCAAACGAAATGCCAGAAGGTGTATTCTGGTACTTGACAAAAAAAGGACTGCTTATTTTACACTGTTGTAAACACTGTTGGCCTATAATCTGTCAAAAGTATCTAAAACATATCTTTTTGTGAATTATATCAAGTCATTTTGAGTAAAAAAAAACCCCAAAACAAAACACCACACCACAATAACATTAGAAGATATTTTAAATGGACAACGTAGAAAACAAGGTAGGTGAAATAACGTCATGGAAATACCTTCAATTCATTTTCTTTATTTAACTCTTTATTTTATATGTAAACCCTTCGTAAATCCTGTTGACTACAGCCTATTTACCAGTGTGGGCAAATATATTAGATATGAAAAAATACAAACGATGGAAATCACTTTTAGCAGGTGTAACTAATGATGTGGTCTGTGCGTATGTTTACTGTTATATTTGATGGTTTACTTTGTCATTGTTCGTGAGTGTGCTTTTTTAAATTACTGCCAATTCAAAAACAATACTATCAGTGCAAAACAGACGAAGCACTCTATTTGTCACGCACAGTCCGATCTTTAAAATAACAAGCTAAATCGGGAAGTTCATGAGCTTCCCGATTGAAATTATCTCTTACGCTGCTTTGAGAGCCGTCGGTCGCAGCCTGGTTGTTTCGTGCCCTGTCTTCAGGCTGCAGACTGTCAGCCGTGGGTGTTTTATCACACTGAGCAGCGGTGTCTGCTGCTGTCTCCCCTCTGGATTGTGAACCAGTAGTCTCACTCTTCTGAGCAGCTTTTTCAGCCTGTCGTCTGGCTCTGAACTCTGCCAGCTTTTGCTCCATGGATAATTAAGAACCGACAGCAACTCATTCACAACTTCTATAAGCTCACATTAAAGTTATAAGCCCTTCGAAGCACAGTAAATCTCTCTCTCACACACACGAACTTTCAGTCTAAGTTTGATGACTTGCTACTAGCTTAGTAACAGGTATGTTTACATTTTACGTCGACGTCTACCTGAAAGCAGGATGGTGTGTCGCAAGAAGCCTCCAACGGTCCCCGTTTTACGACAGTTTCACAGTTCTGTTGCTAGCTTAGTGATTGTTTTCAGTAGAGGTAAGTTCCCAAATGTTATACTGTTTTATGTTCATTTAGTTTGGTATATAAATAAATGGATTTTTCGCTGCTGTTGCTGTTGATAACCGTCAAATTTTAAGCTACTGAATGAACGATCGGAGACACATGCTAATCACCACATAACCACCACGTCTCCTTTATATATACGTGTCGTTGTTGTATTTAGCTTGTTTGTGCTATTATTGCGGTTTCTATATTTTTTTATTGGTTTATCAAGCTAACAGTTATCATTATGTTATACATTGAAATATATTTCAATATAACAAAGATGCTTCCTATTCTTGAAGCTACCTCGATCTTCCTTTAATTTTCCTACTTTTATTATTACAAAATGTAAATGTTTTTAATTTTGTCTACATCAGTCCGTGTACAGTGGCTTTATTTTTTCGTGGCTTTCTGTTTTCTCTGCAGACATGGCCTCAGCTCCAGCACAGCAGCCCACTCTGACAGTTGAGCAGACCAGAGGTGAGAGGAACAGCTAGTTTATATATATAAAAGCTCCCGTTTCTACTTGTTTTACTCTTCCCCAGGTGGTCCATATTGTTGCTGAATAAATACTGGGCAAGTACTCGTACTGTTGCATTTGTAAGACTGAGACCTGTACTTGTTAGCAGGATTTTGGATTATCCAGGTAGCTTCAGGGTTAACCCTAGGTTTTCTGTACTACATAGGTGGTTCACTTTTTACCGAGGTAAGTCATCACGGTAATTTATGCTGTAGACCTAACCTGCTCTGGACGTGGTTAAATTACATGGAACCATCACCTACTGACCCATCCTGGAAGACCCGGGAGAACTCTGTGGGGAGAGTTGTAGGATGTAAAGTTTCTGTGTTTCCCTGATGAGCATCAGTAATAAATACAGATTTTTAGACACAACTTATTCCTTGTTTTCTGTGTTGGCAGCAAACAATTTTACAACAGCTTTTTGTTTTACAAGTAATAAATAGTAATATAAAATAAGTAGTAATATATAAACCTAAAACAGGACGGCTACACTGACCTCATATCAAATTTGTACTAATCCTGTGTTTGAATTCTGTTTTTATATTTAATATTTACTTTCAAGCCCTTAAACAGCACTGAGTCTGCAGCTGAGAGAACAAAAACGTACATTTTTAAGAGCGGGTTATGTTCTGAGTTTAAGTTTAAAATCAACTGGAAGCAACGTGATTCACTGATCCTTTTATTCACAGCACATTTTAATTGCAATATAGATTGTATGCTGGTCTGTACTTGTGTGTGCAGCTTATTAATGTGTACCTTAGTAAAACCTCTGAATGAAGCACAACCTGTGAGTCATATTATAACGGCAATGTGCATGATTAACTTGGTGATTTAGAAAATGTATAAAATGCTGTTATGCTTAATTCTAATCTGCTGCTGAGTCTCTTTTACTCTGGTGGTATTACAGCTACTAGAACACAGGACACACAAAGAATGCCTGTTCAATCAATAATATGGTTTTAACTTTTATCTGCAATAAACTATGGCAATGTAAACATCTCCTTGATTCAGAATGATATTATTAATAATAGTATTAAGCTGTGGGACAATAAGCTTTAATATTCAAATGGATCCAGTTTAAAGTTTCAGAGCTCTAATGCACAGCCATCACCTTAGAAATAAACAGCAGGACTGAGAGCGCACTCAGTGTTAAAATAATCAACTGGAATGAAAATATTTATTTTACTGTTTTGTGTGCCAAATCTAAAGCTTTCATCCTTTGTCCTTTTTACAGCTGTTTTGCATTTTACTGGTATATATTTTTTAATGTTCTTTATAGACTTTTAATCACGCATTGATAATGTTTCTGGATTAGGTGACAGTCATAGGGATCATTTTCTGTGGAAGAAGAGTCATATGATCCGTGAAATGCCTCTTTTAGATTGGTTAGATGCAGCCAATACCACCCTTCTTGTGTTAACGCACAAGAGAAACCCTGGGTTAACTTATTGAGCTGATAACCAGCTTTGTGTGACCTTTTATCCTGATTGCCAGTGTTAGCATAAGTGAATCTAGATAACGGTAAAATAGCCTGGGTGTTGTGAACTTTTTTTGTAGTATAGGGCCCTGGAGTTGGATGGGGTGCACTTTCTTTGTTCATGAAAAGTAAGAAGAAGAATTAGTGATGGTGATTTTCAGGCTCCAGATTAGTTACTGTACTGCCATCCATCCTTCTTCTTCCGCTTATCCGGGACCCGCGGGGCAGCAGCCCAAGAAGAGAAGCCCAGACCTAGCTATCCCCGGCCACCACCTCCAGCTTATCCAGAGGAACACCAAACCAGGCCAGCTGAGAGATATAATCTCTCCAGCGCGTCCTGGGTCTGCCCCGGGACCTCCTCCCGGTGAGACATGCCCAGAACACCTCTCCCACGAGGAGCTCAGGAGGCATCCTTGTCAGATGCCCGAACCACCTCAACTGGCTCTTTCAATGTGGAGGAGCAGCGGCGCTACTCTGAGCTCCTCCCAGATGGCCGAGCTCCTCACCCTATCACTAAGGGAGAAGCCAGCCACCCTTTGGAGGAAACCCATTTCTGCCACTTGTATCTGCAATCTCGTTCTTTAGGTCACTACCGAAAGCTCGTGACCATAGATGAGGGTAGGGGTGTAGATCGACCAGTAAATTAAGAGTGTAACTTTTACACTCAGCTCTCTTCACCACAATGGACTGCTACAGCGTCTGCATCACTGCACCAATCCGTCTGTCGATCTCCCGCTCCCTTCTCCCGTCACGCGTGAACAAGACCCAGAGATACTTAAACTCCTCCACTCACCCCTGACCTGGAGTGGGCACTCTACCCTTTTCCAGCTGAGGACCATGGCCTCAAAATTTAGGGTGCTGATTCTCATTCCCACCGCTTCACACTCGGCTGCAAACTGTTCCAGTGCGAGCCAACAGAACCACATCACCTGCGAAAAGCAGAGCTGAGATTAATTACTGCAATGTGGAGACATAAATCCCTTTGGGGTTTTGTCAAGCAGGGTGTGTGATGTTGAAAAAAAAAACTGCTGCAATGTGGAACTGCAGGCAATGTCTTGTGAACAAGGTATAAGCTGGCAGTAGTTAGTTGATAATTTCTTCTAAAATGTGCAGCAATGTCAGGAAAAGGTTGGGTTTTTTACTTTGTGGAGCAGCTACTAAAAAAGCTTTTTTTTCACAGTGGTTTTGAGCGAGGTGATCCAGGCATTCTCAGTACCGGAGAATGCCGCACGGATGGAGGAGGCCAGAGAGAGCGCCTGCAACGACATGGGCAAGATGCTGCAGCTTGTGCTCCCTGTGGCCACCCAAATTCAACAAGAGGTTATCAAAGCCTACGGATTCAACAATGAGGGGGAAGGTGAGCTTTTTTGTATCTTAAAACTAAAAATGTGCTTGGTTTTGCTCTTTGCTAGGTTAGAGAAAAAGTGCAAACAGTGTACTGTGAAAATAAGCGGCTCGCCCACTGCTGGCCTCCCATTTAGTTTTTGTAGAAAGAAAAATTATTGTAATCTCCCCGGTCTTGAGATGATTAGGGATGCACTTTGTCCAAAGAGCCAACCCAAGTAGTAAGATTATCTGTGGACATTTTTCAGGACAGCAGGTTCCTTTCTCCAAGTTAAAGTACCAAGTGTAAGACATTATTTCCCTGAAGGCTTAAAACAATAGAAACTACTCTAAAGTTCAAATAATTTTAAGACACCGTTCAGACTAGAACAAATGATCCCACCGGTGCTAATTAGTGCTGGCTGATATGATGCTGAGTACTCATATAATTTAATTTGGGTCTTAAATGTATGAATTGGACATTAAACTACCCAAAGAAGAACAAATAAATGCTGCATTTATAAATCATATTTGTTTCTCATCTAAACGTTTCTTACTGTTTTCTATCTCTAAAGATATTACCTTCAATCTCCCACACAATGCTGTTACAGAAACCAAACTTTGCAGGGTTGTAGTCACTTTAGATGTATACCAGTCACACATTGAAGAGATGTCTGATAAACTACCCGAGACATAAAGACAGTTATAACTAGGAGGCTTGCAACAGATTGCATAGCTCAGACAGAGGCTCGATGGAAAAATAATGAAATTGTTATGGGATTAGGTACAAAGTCGGCAGCAGATGAGACCGCCTGAATCCACAGAGGAGCTTTAAGATGCAACAACAAAGCCAGACAGTGTCTTTAAAACACTTATATTCCACCTACTGAGTTCATTATTATCAAAACTAATATCATCCTCACTACAGTGTCACAAACATATGCACATCACTGTTTTTTATAGATACTAAATGACATATTTTAAATGGGCCTCAATTTTTAAATCACACACACACAGGGAATTTTTTCAAATTAAACATGTCCAAAGTTTTAAATAATAAAATCAGTGTATGTATAAGTAATCCCTGGGAGCCCAAGGCTTGGGTTTAATGAGGCACACAGCACAGATGCCCCGCCTACTCGTGGTTTAAATTTCCTGTCTGCAAGGTGCAGCCAATCAAAAGGGAGTTGCTTTAAAGGAAGACGAGTTGAAATGGAAATCTGTTCTAGGAGAATCCAAAAAAGTCAGTAACAAACTGTAATAGATCCCTTTCGATGGAAACTTCCAGTCTGTGCTGGTCATAGGCTGCATGTTATTCTGGGGAGATGATATAATTTGTCATGCTGATCATCTGCTTCCCTTTCAGGTGTCCTTAAATTTGCCCGACTGGTCAAGATGTATGAAACCCAGGACCCAGAAATCGCAGCCATGTCTGCTAAACTGAAATCTCTTCTCCTACCGCCACTTTCAACACCACCTATAGGAGGCGCCATTCCAGCTTCATAGGAAATATTACTTCCATCCATTGTTCGCAAGGATACTTCCATTTCAACTTTGGAATACA